ATAACTTCTCAATCACACAAGTTCTAAATGTTAATCATTCCCATTGCTTCTTAGTGAAGCCTCAGGTTTCCTAAGTGAAGCAATTCAAAGGGAGCTCCCTATGAATAAAAAGGAAGCTCTGGTAGTGCTCTTAGGCTGGTTTCATGGGCTAAGTGTAAATATGGAACATGTCTGGCCTTTCTCTGGGTTATCTCCTATTTCAAGTGTTTTTAGATGACAATGAGAGGGGCCTGAAGCTGAGGAAAGATTAAGATGGTAGGTAAGTCTAGCATTGGAGCACTAAGGCTGTTTTGTTTCCCTCTGGAGAGTGGAAAAAATTCTACCTATGGATTGGGCTAACTGCCATACAGTTGCTGGGATTCAAGTCTGGAAGCCCAGTTTGAGTCTGATGTCAGATGTACATTTATTGGGGAGGGAGGTGTCTCTAAACTGGGCTGTTTGTTAAACACAGGTTCACAAGGGAGTGTGGAGATCTTGCCATGACAACAGTTCATACTGGAACACAACAATGGGCAAAAACAGTAACATTAAATTACTTTTTGCATCACTTCTGAGTTGTAATACAATCACTTGCTTTTTTTTTTATGATAGGATCATTAAATTGATGTTTGTGTCTTGTATTCCTGGACACAAACACTGAGATGCTCCAGACTGGGTCACAGAATATTTATCAAAATGTGATGCCCAATATTGAAGTCACAGGACTTTGGGTTGCAAGATCTACTGTCATGATCACCTGAAGATCGTAGCAGACAGATAAGCATTAAGAAATTAGTGACAAAGTACATTGAAATTAATGACATAAAGGATCAAATTATTTTTGCTGCTTCCCACAAACCTGTGGTAGCACCTATAGAATCTGCTTTTCCCAATTCCCAAAGCAAACCTCATATTTTAAAACAGCCCTAATTTTGCCGTGGCCCTTTTCTCAGAAAATTCTGCCTTGCCAATCCTGTATTACTCAAGGATTGAAATGTGGGCAAAAAGTAGACATCTTTCTTAAAATATTTCAACCCCCTGTTCTCTGCTTTCACATGGATTATCTTGAATTAAAGCTTCACTCTTATTTTTCTGACCTTAGTCTTCAGAGGTCACAAACACATCCATCCCAAGCTCTGTATTACCAAGTTCCCTAAACCTGGGTCCTTGGTATGCCTTTCTGAAGGAAGGAGAGTTTGACCAGCTGCTTTGCCTTTTTATAGCAATTTCCAGTTTTCTAATAGGGAATGAAGGAATTGACTTTCCCCAGAATCTTTCATATTAAAGAAAAATCAATCTTTACAGAACACGTGAGAATAAAATGAAGTATGGCTTAAAGGAAAAATTAAGTGCTTACATTAAGTTAGAAATTAAACATGTAGTCAGTCCTTCAGGTACTGTGAAATCTTAAATGACTATGCAAAACAATCTTAATGGAAAAAATCATGATTGTTCCATCTTTAAAAATTTTATTGAAATATTAACTCCTTTGCTTTCTATCAGAGGGAAGTAAAAAATATTAAGGACATTGTAATTTTGAAACAGTGATATTTATTAGTGTAGTTGAATGGTACTTGCCTCTTTAGTAGCTTACACAGAGTGAGCGTCTTTCCTATGCCTTGTTGAATTGTCATGTTTAAGTTGGGATTAGCTTCCAAGAGTTTATCCTTTGCATTTTTAAATGCCGTAGAATACCTGAGGTTTCCTTTAATATGAAGTATTTTGCCAATGTCTCTTTGGAACATCTTTCTTATCCCTATCTTTTCCTATACTTATGTAGATTGCCCTTCGCTAAGTTGTCTAGTTGCAAAGCTAGTCTCTTGATAACAGTGTGAACATTGCCCTGATCAACTATTCCTTCAGTAACTCCTAAACTTAGATTTGATTCAAATACCACTTTCCAGGGTTACTACTTTGTTTTGCTGTAACTTTCATCTTGTTGGTCCAATCCCTCTTGGTTAATTTGTCATGCAAGTTTCTCTGGGAAACAAGCAACTAAACTACATGTTTTCTATTCATGCATAAACTGAGTAACTTATGTAGTGACCAGTCATTAAGTTTTTTAAATAAGTGGCATGATTAGGCCGCAGATCAGGATGTCCAACTGTTACTTGTGCCATGACTTGTGAACGAAAGAGCCAGCAGTGAAGTTTGTAAATTATTACTTATCATTAATGACGTTTGAACTGTTCTAGGGCAACTGGTATATAAACTGTGGTAACTGAAATTCATTTTTTATTACCAAAGTCATGCAATGTTAAGGACTGTCTAAAGTTAGCATCCTGCTTAAAGAAGCAAGGAAGAAAAGTGAACCAATGTAAGCAAAAGCTAAATAATGAAAAAGATTGAGAAAATTAGGGAAAAGACAGTAAAAACAAATGCAAGAGTAAAAAGAAAAATAGCAAGTACATTTAAAGATAGAAGATTAACCAGTAACTACTGTGGTTTGTGGAAAAAATACAAAGTTAAAGCAGCTGTAGTTATAATGGAGATAAAAATCATTAGAGGCCAGTTTGCTTATCATTAAAATATCTAATTTTATTGAAGATGATTTACCAAAACTAATTACAAATTAGCTAATTTAAACAATTTCATTGAAACAATTGTCCAAGAACTTTCACCTGAAAAAGGGCACCAAGTTGTTTTAAAAGGGAATTTCACCATTTTTAAAGCAAAGAATTCTAGTGCTATTCCAGCCATTCTAGAGTATGAACTGTAAAGTTTGTACCGAAAGCTGATCATTGAACAGATCAATTACAGTACTGAGACGTAAATTGTAAATGATACATTGGCAACCAGATTCAGAACATTAAGTGAATAACATGCCTAAAGCACGAGTTTATATCGAAAATACAAGGATGAAAGCGTTCTAGGAAGTTTTTTGAAATAACTCAGTATATCTAAAGGTCTGTGATCACTTTCCAAAGATTCTCACAAGGCATTTTATTAATTTCAATGAATTCTTGACTCAGTTCAATGAAATAGATGTGGAAATCTCAATTATAAGATGTATCTAATGAATAGTGGAGATCCTCAGAAAGGTGAGTGATAAAACAAGAATGCCCACCCTATTTAAAGTCATTATGGAGATATGAGGCATTGAAATAAAAAATTAGGAGTGAACTACTTAGAAAGAGGCAGTATGATGTTTACTATTTTCAGATGTTACTTCAAACATGTAAAACTCAACAGAATTATATCAGAAAGCCAACGTGGAAATTCTGATATAGTAAGGTATCAAGTGCACATAGAGACAGTACTGTTGTATGAAAATGCTGCAAAATGAAATATAACACCCATTTATAGGAACAAAACCAAAATACCTAGAACTACATTTGATGAGATGCTTTAGAAATAAACTGACCCACATCAATCCCATGGTCCTAGTTCCTTACAGGTCAATGATGCAAGCAGCATTTAAGACCAGGCCCAGGTTTAGAAAAGGAACGAGGATGTCCTCTAGGGAAGGTTTACTTGCTCTCAAGTGGGAACCCAGGGAAATACTCATCTTCCAGCCACAACTTTGGCCTATGTGAACACTGTACCAGCACCAGCACGTGGGTAAAGCCAGTTCAGAAGAGTAGTAACTGCAGCTAGTGGGAGCCAGAGCTCTGAACAGTTTTACTGCTGATGTTTTATGCTTGCTCTGAGCAGAGCCCAGGTGGTTCAAGTAATATTGGACAGGCATCATTTATAGTGATTCAACGTACCAGCAAGTGATCAACGAGAATTTTTACTAGTCCAGCAAGTGATCAAGAACGTTTATCAGTCAATTAGGGTTAGCCAGCCAGATTGTTGGGTTCTGAAGTGAAGTACGTAGACAATGGTTAACATTCCCACATTCCAGGGTTGTCAGGCCAAGAAATTCTGAGTCTCAAACCTTTTAAGCTTTATAGGACAGCTAGGCTGCCCTACAGGACCCAAATTCTCATGCATAGTGTGTAGAACAGCATCAATATCCCAAGGTCTCTCCAGATACAAGCTTTTCACAAGATGTTTTAAAGCATAATAACATTTCATAGTTAAAGTGTCTTGGACGTTGTTCATAGTTTGTTGTTACAAAGGAATCACTATGTGCATTTAACCAAAGATTTCCAAAAGGTTCTTAGAGAAGAACTTCTATGCCTTGAACTATCAAGAGAATCGGGACTTGTGGGGGCATTTTGCATGGAAGTCACTCACAATGCTGTTAACCTAATAAAGCTTACCAACACAAGTACTCTGGTCAGGAAACAAGCTCGCAGCTCTTTCTCAAGAAGGTAAGTGGCTCTGAAAAGAGCCTTTGGGTTAGAAGAAAAAGACGCTTACTTAGCAAGTTTACTTGGAGCTGGTGTACTTGGTAACAGCCTTGGTGCCCTCGGACACGGCGTGCTTGGCCAGCTCCCCGGGCAGTAGCAGGCGCACGGCCGTCTGGATCTCCCGGGACGTGATGGTCGAGTGCTTGTTATAATGTGTTAAGCGCGACGCCTCCCCAGCAATGCGTTCAAAGATATCAGTGACGAAGGAATTCATGATGCTCATAGCCCTTGAAGAAATACCGGTATCAGGGTGAACTTGCTTCAGCACCTTGTAGATATAGATGGAATAGCTCTCTTTGCGACATCTCTTGCGCTTTTTTCCTTCTTTCTTCTGAGTCTTGGTTGCAGCTTTCTTAAAGCCTTTCTTAGAAACCGTAGCGCCCTTTGAAGGCAACTCCGGCATGATTAGTGTCAGCTCTAGCGTCAACAGCTCTAAGGTAACAGCTCTACCAACTCCAAGCGATACTAAGCAAGCGAAAATACCTAACGGTTGGGCAGAGTGCTACTTATAGGCACGGCACTCGAGTGACGTGTGGAGATGCCAATATCTGATTGGCTATGGGGGAATGGCGTGTATGTAAATAAGGTGATTCTCCGTGACCCTTTCTGATTGGGTAAGACCACCAGCCTATCAGAAAGCAGAGCACAACCTGCCGTCGGGCTATAAATAGGCCCAGTAGCGTTTCCTCGCTTGTTTTCCTAGTATCACTGGCTGTTTTAAAGTTATGTCTGGGCGCGGGAAGCAGGGCGGCAAGGCACGTGCGAAGGCTAGGTCTCGCTCATCTAGAGCAGGCTTACAGTTCCCGGTAGGTAGAATCCATCGTCTGCTTCGTAGAGGTAACTACGCGGAGCATATAGGGGCTGGTGCGCCGGTGTACCTGGCCGCGGTGCTAGAGTACCTGACTGCGGAGATTCTGGAGCTGGCGGGCAATGCATCCCGCGACAACAAGAAGACGCGTATCATTCCGCGACATCTGCAGTTGGCCATCCGTAATGATGAGGAGCTTAACCAGCTCTTGGGTGGTGTGACCATCGCTCAGGGTGGTGTCCTGCCCAACATTCAGGCCGTGCTGCTGCCCAAGAAGACCGAGAGTCACCACCACAAAGTGCACAGCAAGTAGTCTAAGTGGAGAATCCTGATGAGCAACCTGAGCGTCTGGCGAAGAAACAGCAGCCAAAGGCTCTTTTCAGAGCCACTTAAGCTATCATTGAGGGCTGTGCCTAAGCTGTTAAAGGCTGTGATGGTGTAATTTTCCAGTAATAGGCTGCCAAAAACCTCTTAACTATTAATCTTTTGTAAAGTTAGTGCTTAAACATTGATTCTA